GTGTGTGTGTGTGTGTGTGTGTGTGTGTGTGTGTGTGTGTGTGTGCGTATGTGTGTGTGTGTGTGTGTGTGTGTCAACTTCCATACAGTGTGTCGTATGTGATAAAAGGATTTCAGCATTATTAAATTTTGCTCCGATGGATAAAGCCATACTCTTTCAGTGATGATTGTTTATTTACAATATTATTGATTTGTTTGTAATTTGATAATTTGATATGAATTTAGAAATGAAAGTGTTATTATCATTGTGATAAGAAATGTTTAAATGTAACTGACAAAAAAAAAAAAAAAAGAATATAAGAAACAATTTGTGTAACAATTAGTAAGTGAAAAAATTATATATGTTTTATTGATTTGATCATAAAAATAATCAATTGATCATAAATTTTTCATTCTTTTAGGAAATAAATTAGCCAAAGAACAAATAGCCTGGCCATTTCTTCTATTAATCTATTTATTGCTAGGCTTTTTTGCTAATCTCATTTGTAAATATAAAATAGTTCTTTAATGGCACGACGAGATATTACATTCTCTTTTTCGGATAATTGTATTGCATTAGATAAATTAAAATTATCAAATATTGGGAATAGATTATACAAATGTATTCGTTGTTATTTTATTTATTTTAACTCAGCTTCTTCCTCTTTAAACTTCAATTAATTAATTAGTGTTAATTAGTGCGAACAATCTCATTACTAAAACTAATCCAAAGTAACTTTTGGGAGTTTGTACATTTGATATCAGCTTATTAAAGCTTAGGAAATGTAGTCAAAGAGAATGCGTGCTTTTTTGTTTCCATATTTTCCAAATACCAAAGGCATAAATTTCCAGTTCATAATTTGGAAGAACAACCAATTTTGCAAAAATATTTCTTTTAAAATATTTTGCGAAAAATTGAAATATGCAAAATTTTAAATATGCAAAAATATAAATTCACCAAATTAATATGCAAAAATTGAATCGATAATCTGACAAGATTAAATATATAACAAATTTTGATCTAAATAACATTGTTGAGCAATAGATACAACACGATCCCGCGAGGATTCATTTTCCCATTTACCTTCTCTAATTCCATCACTGCTAATCCTTTTCGTTTGTTTTTTCTTTCCTATTTATTGATTAGTTAAGTTTAATTAGTTGGATTAAATTTCGTAACGATTGATAATTTCAAAGTTGTTAATAAATTATTTTAATCAAAATCAAATGACATTTGATTAAAATTCTGCTTCTTTTTGTCGTATTACTTTTTTTTTGTTTGGTTGCTCTTTCGAATTCAATTATCTGTTTGATATTAAAAATGTTTTTCTTTTCAAATTGATTATAATGAGATCGCATTTGTATTTCGCTCATTTTCATTATTCGTTACATTCCACATTGTTTTTGACAAAATTAAATTTGAAATTAGATTTTTCTAAGGATTTACTCGATCGATCGATAATTTGCTTTCTTCTCCTGAATTGATGTTGTACAGCAACACTTCAAATTTAAATTTGTAGATAATCAAATTCAAAATGCTTTGTGCCGATTAATTATCGGTTAGATATTTGTTACTAATATCTACATTTACACAATTCACTAAATACTTTCTGCCAAAAATTTTGGAATCTCTTTGCTTGGATTCAATATCTAAGAGAACCATCGAGAACCATCGAGATGTCTAGCAATGTGACAAGAAAGGGACAAAAAAGAAATTAGTGACAAAGTAAGAGAAAGTGAAGGTAAGAGAAGAGTAAGAGACGAAGAAAAGAATGAGATATGGGAAGGGATTAGAGGATTATTATCTGCATTGCACGCAATTTCCCGTTTAGTTCATTAAATGTCTAGGACCGCGATTTTGGCGCCTCATTATTCGGGTATTATCCTGTATCCAAAGTAACCTTTGGGAGTTAGTATCTTTCATCAATCTCTTCTTTCATTAATGTAAACATGGATAGAAAGGAAAAAAAGGAAGATGAACAAGTAAACATTTATGTATAAATGCATTCATTTTTTATTTGATCGTTGTACATTTATATATTATCAATTGGATAAGTCAAATCAGGTTGAATATTTTTATTTTTACTGAAAAATATGCTTGTTTTGTTAATTTCATTAATTAGATCATTTAATTGTACCAAATCAATTCATTCATTATATGCTTATATTTCATCTTTTTTTCTTTTTCGTACTTTCATATTGTTAAAATTATTGAATTATTTCATGCAAAATAGCTCCAGGTAATGATTTCATTACACGTAGGTCATCGATCACACACACACACACACACACACACACACACACACACACACACACACACACTAT